GAAATTGTTGTTAACCGAGAGAGTTCCAACAGTGCAACTATTTCCGGAAGCAAATATTTGCATGTCACTCACTTGGCAATAAATCTTTGTTGATCCTATGATACCTGTTGTGATAGCAACTGATTTTGCAGGACATTCGAGTAGCCATCAGATGACACAACTGTTTCAGCTGTGGAAAGTCATTTTCAACGATCACAATGCCGGGATGCTTTATCATCTGTAATTGATTGCTTTTACTTCATACCTTTGTGTAGTTGGTATGATCGTAATTTAATACTGAAATAACGATAACAATTGTCATATTTGTTACTAATGATTATATTAATTAATAAAGAGGAGGAATAAATAGAGCAATACTGTTGCATGTCTGGAATACTGCTTTTCCCGTGCCAACCATGACTCAAGATTTGTTTTGCCGCTTGCATACTAGTAATTTTCGACCAGTATTCCACGAACCTGTTGTCATCAATACCATACAATTTTCAACGATATCGAATTTCTCGCTGTGCTTCTAGTACATACAATACATAGTACATACTGTTCGCTAAAATTACCAGATCACTTAGCAAAGTATTCTTGTGTACGTCAGTCAAGCCTGTCTATGGACCTTTTAAAGTAAACTCATGATAGTTGTTCTGAAGTCATTACTAGATGGATAGGCAGATCGAACTGTCTGTCTTGAACAATAAGCATGTAGTAATAATGCCTTCTCGATTTGTTCTATGTTTCTGAAACTACACTTTATGATGCTCCACTATCCCATGATATATCCATAAATTAGAGGAAATATCCAGCCGAGATCTCAAGCTCCAATACTCCAGTGGGTTAAGAGATGATAAAATGTTCATTGCGATGCATTATTTCTTTCAATCAAAACTATGCTTCTTTTATTCCTAAATCTCTTAGTTTTTCATTTTTTATTGACATATGACATAGAAATGTTCAGCTCCCATCAATGCTACCGTGCTTCATTTGGTAACTTCCCATAGAATATTATTGTCTCCAACATGAACGGTGTGCAGAATATTGTTCCAATGTGGTGCAAACACTCTACCATTCCTAGCCGAAACACATGAATCTCTTGCCCATAGTCTAGCTTCCAATCATCTAATATTGTTAAATCCCGTGCACTCAACAAGCTGATAAATTTTTCATTGTTTATTCATTTTCTATTTTTCACTGCATGCAAACGGTATAGAAGTGCGAAGTATGCAAAACATCTCGAAATCATTGAGGAATCTAATGTTTCTTTGCCATGTTCTAATATTGCTGCTAACATTTAACAAGTCCTATTCAGTTCCAATTCACCCAGAATTCTTGGAAGTACTGATTTCATCTCCTCATTTCTAGAACAATCACTTAAAGATTTCAGTTACTAAAAACTTAAAAACAAATATTCCCAAATTAGTACTGATAGGAATATGCAACGATTTGTACAAAACAACGGCTGTAGCGTTCAAGAAGTAACATATATCGATACAAGCATAACAAAACAAATGAAGAAATAAAGGCTGAACAAATTCAATAAGCCAGAAAGAGAAAGCGTAACCAAGATGAAAGTAAAACCTCTCGTACCATATACATAGAGAGAGAAGGAGGGAATAGAATTCGTTGTTGATATCAGATATCAGTAAGACAATAAGCTCAATAACTACCCAACATAAGTGAACCTGTTGGTGGTGAGGAGGTGGTACAATATCCTGAACTTACACTTGAACAACTTGATGAAATCGATAGATTTCCGGAATAACCATCAATAAAAGACCGAAATCCGGGAGAATGATGCTGGTTACGGCCTTCCATAGATATCGACGACGTTTTCGTACCAATAATTGTAGGACCGTTCTGCGAAGACATGTAAACAAAAGCGCCCAAATGTGATTCACTCGCACCAGTATTTGGTATGGCGTAACGCAAAGCTGGATGTTTTTCTGCGTGTGTTACTAATTTAGCTGGTACACTACCTAACTTATAGCGACCTGAATTCAACTCCGATATTGGCAATGGAAGAGATGTGTCGCCTTCCAATAACCAGGGATGATACCGTATATATTCCAAATCACAACGTTCGTCTGGATCATATTTCAAACATTCCGTAATAAGATTTTTGCAACCTAAAATTGAGCATCCTGACATATTTCACATCTTTTTTGACCACTTCAATAATGTCAAAGAACTACTATGAGAATTTCCAGAATGCATAACAAACGAACATTTTGAAATATGTCGTCGCCAAACTAACGGTCCTCGACGAACAATGTCTTCATCGCGATGGAATGGAATGTCCCCACAAACCATATCATACAACAAAATCCCTAACGACCACACCGTTGCCTTACAGCTATCATACTCAGAACGCAAGATCCATTCTGGCGGACTATACACACGTGTTCCTGGAAATACAGGCTCTAAATATATATAAACTATATAACACGAAGTTAGTCACTTAAATGAAGTAGGAAAGAAAACATGCCTTCAAAATCGGTAAACTTTTCACCCTTCGTTTTATAAAATGCACCTGAACCAAAGTCAACCAACTTCAGGCGTCCAATTTTCAAATCCACAACCAAATTTTCATCCTTAATGTCTCGATGGACAACATTTACATCCACACAAGCTTTCACAGTATCCACAACCTTCAAACAAAGCAAGTTTTACTCGCCAAGAAAAAAGAAAAATTCACGATAACTCGTCAACATTATGCAAAAAAATCGCTCGTACATCAATCACCTGTTTGAAGAAATTCCTTGCAATTTTTTCATCCAGCGCCCCGTGTTCCGATATATAATCAAACAAGTCCTGGCACGGTGATGGTCGCTCCATCACAATCAGGAATCCATCCGATCGTTCAAACCAATCGTACATTTGGATAACGCCCGGTATATTTCTACATTCCATTAGAAGGACTATCTCCACAGGTAGCTCTTTACCAGTGTTAGGAATCTATAAGGAGTAAAGTGCATCAATGAAGTACTTATTTTCCTTTACAAAAATAGTAAAAAATTTTGGGCATATCATTTTCAAATATCAACTGAAATTGACTTTTTTTTAAAAAAAAAACCCCTCTACAGGGTATTTCGAAAAATAAAATATACAAATGTATACCTTTTTCCATCCGGTTACGTTATTCTTTGATACATACTTCACTGCCACTGGCAAACCGTCAATCACACGAAACCCGGAATAGACAGTCCCAAAACCACCGCGTCCTAATTCTGGTCCAAGCTTGTACTGCTTCTTGAAGCTTGCGTAATCATGCTCTTAAAAAATCTTAAAAATTTTGATCTGAAAAGTCTTCAAAAAACCGTATTTGTACTAGTTACACTAGCAAATATCGAATGAATGGGATTTATGAAGGCGGGAGCTGTTTCTGATGAAAGTTTGCTTCTTGAACTCCACTTATGAAACTTCTCACACCGCACTACAAACTTGTCAACTGGAAACCAACCGTTTCTGCACACAGTCATTTTTCCTATATTAATAGACAATCAGGCCAGTCCGACGGGTACATACCTTGACGATGCGTTTCAACACACAAACACAGACAGATGCACAGACACATGCGCACAGACACATGCATACACAGACACATGCACACACATACGCATCTATCTAATCCATCTATCTAATCTATCTATCCATCGATCTATCGATCTATCTATCTATCTATCTATCTATCGATCTATCTATCTATCTATCGATCTATCTATCTATCTATCTATCTATCTATCTATCTATCTATCTATCTATC